TATTTTTGTGAATTAACTTGCCGTTAACATGAAACCAGGCTTCGCCTGAATAGAATACATTATCTAGGCGTGTGCTGTTGTCTTGTATGAAATTTAAGAACCATTGACAACACAGCATTTGCGAAACTGAGCCTGTAGGGCCTAATTCTTACATAACGTGAACACGGTATGACCGTAGTTTAAGATATTTGATGTTCTACGCGCAGATTTCAAAGTAATTTCATTTTAAAAAAATTGTCTTCTGGGATCTGGCGCCGTGTATTCTTTGTTTCAGCCGACATTTCGGAGGAACGTATCGCCTCCATCTTCAGGGCAGGTGAATTGCCTTGTGAATACAGAGAGCAGCTGGCAATTCACCTGCCCTGAAGATGGAGGCGATACGTTCCTCCGAAATGTCGGCTGAAACAAAGAATACACAGAGCCAGATCCCAGAAGACGACTTTCTTCATAGTCATCGCCGTGATAACCTCAAAACTTACATAATTTCATTTTGTTGTGCAAGTTCTTTTGAAGATGTGTTATGTTGCAGCAAAGTGATAGTGAGGCACGTTGTCTCCATGCACTCCAGTTTCCCTTGTCAAATCGCATTCCACCGATTGTTTCACGATCACCATCATCTGGGGATGGTACAACAGGCCAATTAGTGCCGCGATAGTCTCATCCCATTAATAATAATAATAATAACAACAGCCTGTGGAGGCGAGACCCAGTAGCTAATACCTACGGTTCTATAGAACACACTATCCCATTATTGCGTGAAATAAAGAGCGCATTTCAATTTATGCTTCTGTGAATAACCTTTCATCTTTGAACCAGAAATCCGTCCTTCTAAGGTTGGATAGAAATCTGGTATATTTTTAAGTATATCCTTTCCAGAATTTAGTTAGATTTTATCTAGTATTATCGTAAAATAATAGAGCCTTATCAACACCATTAACCACTGGCAATTAAAATTTACAGCAACATTGTACGAAATGGAGTTACATACATACATACATACATACAGCTTTTAAAGCACCACACTTAATTATCTACAGAAGATTTGGGTAGTTTACCAAACCGTGGTTACAGATTGCGTTTCTACGGAATTAATCAGAGAGATACTTTTTTTAATTGCTAGTGGGGTGGGACTAAGTCCCTTGTACTGAGGCCACTTTTGGCCTATTGTACCAGCCCCAGATGATAGGTGAGGGTGATTGTGGAGCAATTGGTAGAACGAAGATTGGCAGGGGAAACCGAAGTACTCGGAGAAAACCAGCCCCAGCGCCACTTTGTCCACCACAAACCCCACTTGACCAGACCCGGGAGATAGATACATTTACTCGTTTCCTGCAAAATAATCCTATAAACAAAATCGTAGTATACTTAGAAAAATAATCAAAGGGGAAATCGCCAGCCTCAAGTTCAAAAGTTGTATTATTAGTGTAAATAATAATGGGTTCACGAACAAGTTGTTTCAGGCGGTAAATCTTTTGAATTGTTTTTGGAGGCGCCAGGTTCGAATTTCAGTCGGGATACTGACTACACAACTGAATTGTTCCTCTGTCCTTCCAGCAAAGAGAGGGATAATACCTTGAAATAGCCCACGGCCGCTTCCTTCCAATGTTTTCCTGTTCATTAATCGCTAATCCTATCATTCGACAATATATAGTTATATAGACTGAGCTACAGATAGTATCGTTAAATGAGTAGCAGAGAAAATGGTGGGTCTGCAGCACACACATTTTCACTCATTGCTGGAATCTCTTCAACAGCGCCTCAAACGTCAACTTAGAAGGAGTGGAATTTAATTCTCATGTTAGTACTCGTATATTCCACTCGCCAGACGTAATAGTCTCGCTGCCACGAGTTTCTTATTCTTAAAACACTCATTTCTTTCACAGTAGATTCAACTGTTATACCGCCATGGTTAAATTCCTCATGGCTTTGTTTTTATAACTGGACGTGCAGCCTGAACACCTAAATTCTAAGGTAACTTCAATGTGCAACAGTATATCCCTTCTCTTTGACAATATTGTTCACTGATTTGGAACCCTTGCAACTCCTTTTTATTTACTCTCTCGTAATAAAGAGCCCACTAAAGCCTAAACTGTCTCCAGCTACAGTCTGGAAAGCAATAAAGACTGATTTGTAGCCGCCGATGTGAATACTCCCTCACCTAAATCACATTCGCTGTTGTACTCACGTTATAAATCATTGAATCAGAAGCAGTTGTTCTTTGTCTTGTCCAGTAGAACATTTTGAAGATCGTCATTGAGTTGTTCATACGTATCGTAAAAGAAAAAAGGACCAAAATTCAAGTAAACGATTAGGACTTTGAAATCTCTGACTTCTGTCAAATTAATTGTTTCAACAAAACCGACACATTAGTTAAAATATCAGTTGATTCTTATTTGAATTCAGCGTGTCGAGGTTATGTCCTGTCTGGTTAACAGAATGAAGTTTGACTATCTTTGTGAAATATGGTTAACAAGCCTGCTGCTGTTGGAAATGAATTCAACAATATTTAAGGAGACCACAAAATTAAATAATTTGGGGGACTGATATAAGTGACAAATTTCATTTTCATTAAATACGCGTCCAGTCTTTTACTCAGTGTTTCTGCCACAGAAAGCTGGCTATACAATTTCATCTGATGTTTGAGTCAAGAATGGTTGCAATTTAACCTCTGTGCCTCTTTGACTCTGTTGTAGCAAGGACGCAAGAAGGGTGGACAATTTGTTGGCCGAAATGTGGACAGGTTACCTCGAAAATTCCAGCCAATAGCTCTAAGGCCGAGTGAAAGGCTCTCGCCAATTTAGTATTTGGAAGTAAAATCATTTATAGCTAGAATACGATTTTTTTCTATAAAGTAACTTAGATCGAAGTGCAGCTCGATGTATCGACAGTCGCATAAAACCGGCGCAGTTAAATCGAATGTCAGACTTTACTCGATTCACGCAAAGCTCTTCTGATACTGGTCAACTAGTCCAAGGTAAAGATAAAGTTGTCCGTATGCTTAACTAATTAAGCACTACGCCATGAATGCCTATGGGGGAGTGGATTTATAGAGCCACATCTTCTTGACCTCGGCACTATTTGGAGGTGAGTGGTGAGCTTCACGTCCCGGCCGTTTTACTCCCGAGGAAATAGTCCCCGGTACCCATTCGATAGGAGGTTGAGTGAACCCAAGAGCCGGTCTAAATGACGTGGAAAAAAGAAAATTCTTGATCCTATCGGGACTCGGAACTCCGACCCCTCGGTAGAGCAGACCGTAGCCAGGACGACAGAGGGGTGAGGGAATCAAATTCTTTTCTGTACAACAGTGTCGTTGCATTCTAGAAGAAACTGCATTCGTGTTCTAACACGCTGTCAGTATCTCAGGCTACATGGCGTCGAGTGAGATGAATAATACTAATTCAATTCAATTCTTGTTTATTAACAGCCAAGATTCCAATTACAAAGTTAGCACAAGTAAGAAGAAATAAACAACAAAACATTTACAAACAGAAAACGAAACGAAGCAGTTTGTATATCAGGAGGAGCAGTAATAATAATAATAATAATAATAGTTCCATTAAAATATATTAAAAATTTTTAACGGCTTTTCTTGATAATATTTTATAAAAATAAATCTTAATTATTATAATGTTAAATGTATTCAGTGTGATTACATGATTGTAATTGTGATTTCTCGGTGCAAAATGGATGGTATGATCACAGTAATGAAAATACTATTATCGCCTTTATGTTAAACTTCCTTTGTAGTCTGTGTATGTGTCTCTCTCGTGTGTCACTCTTCTGCTTGTGGTTACTTTAAATGTATCCTTTGTGCTGTTGAATAAACACGCAAATAAATGTAGAATTGAACTGAATTATTTAAAACGTTTCGTGTAAAATGACATCTTTGTTCGCAGGCACTCTAATATATGAATTGAATTTTATTTTACTGTTTTTGAGGACGTTGCACAGAAACTGGGGGATGGAATTTCTTGCGATACGCTTGCTCCAAGGACCGGAAAGTGTTGGGAGGATAATATTAAGTTGTGAGGATGGGAAATGTATGGAACCACCTCAGGATCTTGTCCAAGGAAGAAATTTGATATCAGAGATGTTGAACTTTCAGTTTCACGCGCGGACCGCTTAACTTCGGGGAAATATTCCTCAGTACCTATTCAACAGGAGGCTGGGAGGTCTCCAGTGCCTGTCCGGGAAGTCCGGAAGCTGTGGAAAAAAGAAAAATCTCAGATCCCTGCCGAGAATTGAGTACTGACCGTTCTGACCGTAGTTCGTCACTATACCGACTGAGCTATCTTAATAAAATTCAGTTTTGGCGTCCAGTACGCCAATTGATGTATGTAACTCTTTTATTTGTACCTGATATTTCAGTAACGACTAAAAGAAATTTGAAACCACTGGCATTAAACTAACAACTGCGCTGTTCGGTTGGAACTGAGCCGCCTGGAACCCGACGTGGGTACTCTCCGTTCTTTGTAGGAAATCCGTTTTTTTCCTGTTTACAGAATCGTTCACTTAAGAGGCCGTACACTCACAACTTATGGCCCTCAGAGAGGAATGCAGCACGAAAAGGTTTAAACGAACTTCGATGGCTTTGGTTAATATTTCGAATTTCTGTTTTAAAAATATGCAAATGGCATTTCAGCCTTTATCTGGATTCAGAGCCTCTTGGAACTATTTGTCTCTAATAAATTAAACATACATCCATTACCCTATTTTACTCTGTAGGTTCTACATTAAGGGATTTAGTTGCGTTATTCATGCTGAAACGCACGGAACATAAGAGTCTCCACCACGCCATGTGTCTTTAGTAGAAGTGGGAGGCGTGGAAAAGCTCTCTGTTCCAAAATTCACTTGTTTCTAAGCTGGATAAAACGCAGTGGCGGCTGGTATACTAGGCTATTTGTGTTGCCCCTTTTAGGAAAATGCACGTCATTAACAATACAATAAGAAGCAGAAAAAGCTTAATAAATTCGTATTGTTTTTCGTCATTCTATTTCCAGTTTTCCTCATCCGAGCGGTCTTGTTTCCAGCCACCACACTACGAAGAGGTACAAGTGGACATGTGGCTTCAAATGCGCTTACTTTAGACTTCATCAGTAAGGTGGAGGTAAGTGGGTAGCTTCAAGCGCCGGCCTTTTTATCTTCAGAGATGTAGCCACTTTGTACTCGCTAGATACTGGTTCGTGGAGTCATCCCTAGATGTTACTGCAGTGGTCCCCACTCCCATGCCTACCAGCAATTGTCTGAGGAAAGTTTAACCTTATACGGCAGACAACCTGCAAGATATTTAAGTTGCGGGTTTCGGTGGGAAATGAAATGTAATATTTCTTACAAGACAATTGAACATATACATATGTTACGATTCATACGTAGTGTATGCAGACAAGAGCATTGTGTTTGGTCACCTTCAGAGCCGCCGAGACAGCCGCAGCAAAGAAAAATCTATGGAAAAGAGACAGAAGGATTAGAAAGATAGGCGTAATCGGGAAAGTCTTAGAGAATTTGGGGTGCATTTGCAGCAATGGAGCCGGTCACGGTAGCCGAGCGGTCTAAGGCATGTACTGTCTTCGCTCGCTTGGAAACCGGGATCGTGGGTTCGAATGCCACTCAGTGCATGGATGTTTAGTTTGTGTGTGTGCGTTTTTCTGTGTTTGTGTACAGGTAGAGGCCTTGCGACGAGCTGATCACCCGTCCAAGGAGTCCTACCGTATGTGTAAGATCTAGAAAAACCGAAGTGAACGGAGAAGTTCATGGAGGTAGGCCTAGGCCCAATGGGGCTGTAGTGCCAAGGAAGAAAATTGCAGCAAGGGACTGATGTCAATCATAGAGCGTAAATTTCAATTCCCCACATGGTTTCCAACCAAAATTTCATATGCACTTCTTGTTTGCTCACAGTATATTTGTCAATTTAGAACTCCTTGTTTAAATCACACTAAAAGTTTTGGCGAAAAAATATTAATTATTAATTATGTGATTTTGTCATTCTTCTATTATAACATTTCACTTATTTTCCAAATAATATGAACATGCTTCTCCAATCAGAGCGAAAAGTCGTGCATTTCACACAATCTTATGACAGTTTAATTTTAATCAAAATTTAAATTCGTGATATTTGGATAAACGGTAGGGTCGAGGAAGGGTAGTTGAGTTTTCAGGTTACAGGGACTCTCAAGAAAATTTTTGTACGTGTACATGTAATTCTTACATCTTTCTATTTCGTACTTATCAGGTATTAGTTATCATCATTAACCGCCACTGGTATTCATGTTTTAATGTCGACACTAGTGACATCTTCGAAAAGAAGATCGGAAAGTTTCCTTACTAAACGGCTTCCCATGAGTCCCAAGCAAAGTGTAGTTGCAATTCGTGACCGTGTTTGACAGTGAGATGTGCCCAGTTGTATGCATAGTTCGCTTCACTCTTATAGATGAGGGTCCACCAAAGTAAGTTGCATTTGCTATTTCATTTGCAAGTACTTTAAATTAATTTACATTGAAATTAATTTGATACCTATTTGAATTTATTTACTTGTTAAGAGAAAATATTAATTTGGAGGTTTTCAACGTTTACAGTTATAAAAAGAAGGAACCTTGTCATTTTCATGGACGCTTTCTGAAATTCAAGGTATTTTTAGCTTAGCTGAATGTTATGAACCGAATATTTATGATTAATAATTATTTGAATCATGTATAAATTAACATAAAACCTCTTCAGATTCTGTAGGCCTATAAATATTATAAATTAAGCTTGCAGTAATTAATTGGATAAAATTCCGAGTTTATGGCCATTTCTTCGCCGTTTACAAGTAACGCTTTTCAGAATAAATTTGTAGCTCGACAGACGTGACTTAATTTATAATAACGCGAAGTATAAATAAACAAGAAGCACTGGTCGCAGAATTCCTATAGATCTATATTTTTTTTGCAGTAGTTTGCATATGCAGTTCTTAAGAGAATAAGAGTTACATATACGCCACTTGTTTTATTACGATTAGGAACATAGTTATAGTAAACAGGATCCTCGTCGATATTTAATAATTGTTTTCTAAGAAAAGAAATCAAACATCGTGGCTCCCATGTAGCTGACTTGCTCACCGTATGTACCAGTTCGAATCCGGTACGGATATCCAATTCCGGTGCAAGCAGACTGTCTCTTCGCTTGCTAATTTTCTTATTTTTCCTTCTACCCTGAAGATTGAGGCGATACGTTCCTCCGAAACGTCGGTTAACACCACATCTACACGGTGCTACATCCCAGGAGACTGCTTTCTTCATAGTCACCGCCGTGAAAACCTCAAATCTTACATGATAGGATTTGTTTATTATATGTTACAAGTTTCATAAGGATCCGTTCAGTTGCTCTGAGTAGAGGGAAGAACAACACAGGATAAAAATAGGAAGTTGAAAAATTAGGCATCAAGGGAGAATACTGCTCTCTAGAAAACAACTTAATTACATCACTGAAGTTTTGAAAAATCCACTGGATACAACCATACGCGTTCCCTTCCAGTGTAACGGTAGTGACTCTTGGTGAAGTTAGAGGCATGTTTTTGCAACTCTTCGTTGCGAACTCTCGAGAAACGAGTTGCATTGGTCATCAGCAGGAAGGAGAAGGAAACTTACACATAAAGGGAAAATACGCACTTGTTTGTCTACTCTGTGTTGTAACGTAGAGACATATGAACCGGAAGGAGCTCAAATGCTACATTTTGCTTTATTCTACACACGTTAGTTTCTGATGAATGTTGCGCGGTAGGAAAGAATGTTGAAGGCGGTATAGAGTTCTGTGTGCATTGTAATGTGTTGGAAGATACTGCTGCATATTTACAGATCTATCGGTGTGCATATGAAACATACAATATGAAAATATGCAAATAACATGTCCATATTTTGCAACGTTCTGGTAGTATAATAGAGCTACAAACAAATGAAGGTGCCATTACAAAACATAGGAGTGTTCATGCAGCTGCGACTTCACCCTCTTACATTAATAGCAAAGTATTCGACTAACAATTTTTAGCATATTTCCTTTCTTTAAAAAATAAAATTAGGCTCATGAAATCACCTTTTTGTCCGTCTGCCCGTCCGTTTATCTGTCTCTGGCTGTATATGCCTATGCTCCTAATTTTGTTACGAGGCATATGAGATCACCTTGCTGTCTGTGTCTTTTTGTGTCTCCCCTAATATTTTCGTTTTCTATGAGGTCCGCATAACCGGCCGGGGTGAGTATCTGACCACTCACTTTCAACTACCGACGAGGTTGAGAGAATGTGGGTCGATGAGCCATACGCCTTCATGCCCTAGTGCTTAATTAGTTAAGTACAGGGGCAACTTTATCTTTTTTACCTTTATGAGGTCTGTATCAAAGGAAAGTATACGATTAGTTCTTCCCAGAACTTCCTGTTGTAGAGGTGGTATTATAAAATCTAATTTACGAAATGAATGAAAGAATCCTGAATAGAAAGCACAGGTCTTGTGTTACCACTGCATATTATTCTAGTTCTACAGCTCTGTTACTGTCTTTGTTTCTATTTATGTGAGGACGTAGAGTTTCTGCCTACATTACAAGTAAATTTGTTGAATATTACCTGAAGGTTTATTACCGTCGCCATGTTTGTAATTACTGATTTGTAAACAGAATTTAAGCCGGTCATGGTAGCCGAGCGGTCTAAGGCATGTGCTGTCTCCGTTCGCTTGGAAACCGGGATCGTGGATTCGAATCTCACTCAGGGCATGGATGTTTAGTTTGTGTGTGTGCGATTTCTGTGTTTGTGTGCAGGTAGAGGCCTTGCGACGAGCTGATCACTCGCCCAAGGAGTCATACCGAATGTGTAAGATCTAGAAAAACCGAACTGAACGGAGAAGTTCAAGGAGGTAGGCCTAGGCCCACTGGGGCTGTAGTGCAAAGGGGGGGGGGAACAAAATTTAAAGCATAATATTTAAGCATGTGTATGGTGTGCCTCCTTCTGAAACTGTGTATGGCTGGCTACCTTCAATAGTTCATTAGTCATCTCGCACAGCCGTCAAGTTATTTTACATTCTACAAAAAATTACCCCTACAAGACTTACATCTTATACGAAGATCTCTTTCCACGCGTCATTTCAGAACTCTGAATTGTATGACGCTAATGCCGTTCTTACTCCAGAATTTTGCGCGAACGTCATGTGAATTTCTGCAGGAAATTATATAAAAAAAAGAAAAAAGATGACGTCGAAGTGGACTGCAATGCCATCAGATTCGTATGACCTGTTGTGAAATTCGGTCAACTGACACAATTGTCATGATTTCATGATTGTCAGGTTCATATTTTGAGAAAATATTTAACACAATTATACAGAATATGACGAACTGGTCTGGCTTTATCGAACTTTTTCCTACTTTAACACATAATAATTATGATAATTGTGATTACAACGAAAATTTAGCTTATTCTGAAAGTGGCTTCTGTTTCTACGTGTAAATTACAATGTATTATCGCAGATGCAAATTTAAGGAGAAAGTAACTGTTAAAGAAGGCCGCGCCATAGCTCAAGCGGTTAGTCGCTGGCTTCCCACTGCGGCGGCCCGGGTTCGATCCCGGGTCTGGTCAAGTGGGATTTGTGGTGGACAAAGTGGCGATGGGGCAGGTTTTCTTCGGGTACTTCGGTTTCCCTGCCAGTCTTCATTCCACCAATTGCTCCACAATCACCCTGACCTATCATCTGGGGCTGGTACAATAGGCCAGAAGTGGCCGCAGTACAAGGGACTTAGTCCCACCCCACTAGCAATAAAAAAATAATAGGTTTACTAGTTCTTACACATTCGGTAGGACTCCTTGGGCGGGTGAACAGCTCGTCGCAAGGCTACCTGTACATAAACACAGAAAAACGCGCCCGCACGCGCCACACAAACACTGAACATCCATGCCCTGAGTGGGATTCGAACCCAAGGTCCCGGCTTCCGAGCGAGCGAAGACAGTGCATGTCTCAGACCGCTCGGATACCGTGACCGGCAAATCGTTAATTAACCTGCCAATTATATATTTATGAATTTTCTGAAGTCCCGTTTGTGTTTCCTTTCTAATTTTTCCCCCCTCTTTTGGCGTACTGAATGTTCTTTTCCTTCTGT